AAAAGCAACAAAAAAAACTTGAATAGCTTTTGATGATATTTTAAGTTACGAAATCAGACACAAAAACGTACTTTCTCTGAATAAATAAACTTTTCTTGGATTTTTAATTTCCAAAATATAGGGGGTAGCCACATTTTTCTTATTATTATTTTTTAAATTTTATGTAATAATAGCCGGAAAAATTTTGAATTTCAAGTAAATAAGTTGTAAAAAGAAAGTATTAATTTTATGATGTAATTTTTATTTTGACATCTTTATTTGAAATGTAATTAAAACAAACAAAAAGGTTTGAAACAAACGTCTAAAAAATTAAAATTAGTTTTTTAATTTATATATATTTTTTATTAAGTTTGGTGAACACTAAATCAAAATTTGAGCTAATTTAAACTGCAGTTTAAGGTATAAAAATTATTTTCAAATTCGGTAGCGAGGAAAACTTACTATGTACTTCAAAATACTTTTTCACTAACGTAGTATGTCAAAAATATTTTTTGAATTTTGTTTTAATGTTTAATTGATTTCATTATATGTTAAACTTAGTATGTTTCGTATGTAAGTTTTATTGATAAGGAGCTACAATGGCTATTTATTGGGAAAGTTGGATGTTTTGGGATTAGTATTGTGCTTAAAGGAAAAGCTAATGGAAGCAACTGATAGAAATTGTGTAGTGAAATTAAGCTTTATAGATTAAAGAGCGAAATCTTAAATGGAAGTTTAGTACAATTGAAAAAAGAAAAAAAATGAAAACTCTATAGAAATATTAATGTTAAAAAATTTTCGTTTATTCAGAGATTTAAAGTGATTTCTATTAAATTACTTAAAAAAATTTTCAGCCTTAAAAAATTGGAAATTTGAGTCAAAACAAACGTAAAAATACTTAATTTTTTATTAAAAACTTAAATTGAATCAACCGAGTATTTCCGAGAAATAACAACATAAACTTTGATTTTTTAAAACAAAAATTTAATAGACTTTTTAAAACTGTTTATTTTTAAAGAAATATCCAGCAGATTCATTTTAAGTTTTTAATTATCATAAAATAACGTATTCGGGTATTTGGCTGCTTTTATGTTTCTCTGAGGGAAAAAAAACAGAAAAGTTTTATGAGAATAATATATTTTTAAATTGTTTTTTATTAAGTTTATTTAAATAATTTTTCAATCGTTATGTATTTTACACTTTATTATGCCAACTTAGAGCTTAGACTCACAAATGAAATGTGAACTTTTTATATTATATTATATTATATTATATTATATATAACAGAACTAGTCTCTCTCTTTTCTTNAATGTGAACTTTTTATATTATATTATATTATATTATATTATATTATCAGCTTATATTCAAGAAATTTTTTTAAAATTTCTATGAAAATTCTGTATGAATCATTTCAAGTCCATACATGGCAAAACTTTTACTTTGTTAATTTTGAACTTTAGTACTTTTATTTGTTCTTTGTCTATTCTTTTAGGTAAAATAAAATGCAACTATTTCTATTGGAAATGTCAAAAGAAATCAATACTTAATTTAAAGTAAATTTTTAAGATTATTTAAAAAATATTTCCCTGAAATTTTTCAAATTAAATATTGTTCCCGCAATTTTTCAATTTAATATTTTTAAGAAATAAATGTCTTAACTGTAAGAGCTAACTTTATCTATAACTTATGTAAAACCGTCTAAATAGAATACGTTCCGTAATTTGTTTTTTATATGCTCAAAGTAAGCTTACAAAAGCATTTTGAAAGTAACCGTAACATAACTGACGTGAGTTAGTTGTATTTTAATGCTTTTTACTGAAAATGCCAATAATTTCTCTTGTAGATTTTCTTTTATATTCTTATCACCTCAAGTATAGTATGTTTTCACATTACAATACTCTATAGATTCCTTTTAACCCTCCTGAAGAGAATTATCATAGTATCCTGTAGAGATCAGAGTATTATCCTGTATAGTATTCAGTAAGTGACAAAACTGACATGTTCTGGAAAATTTACGCTGTTGAGTAAGTGACACTTCTAAAAGGAGGAGAAGAATCAATGAGGTCCAACTTCCCCCGAAATGAAATAAAAAGTTTAGAGTTTAAATGAGTCAAGTAAATTTATCAAAAGGCGTTTAATTTCACAAATTTTCTGCATCTTTCCAGCAAATAGCTTCAATCATGAAAATATTATTATATTTGCGTTTGACAGGAATTAAAATAAAGTTACTTGATTTTTCTAAAATTTGCTATCCGAAGCAACTTTTTTGTTGTAAAAGAAAAGTGAATTATAAATAGAACAAGGAAAGATTCGAAAAAAAGAATTATTCCATCCAACTTTTACTGATTTGTTCCTTTTTCTGTAAACAAAATTATAAAAGAAAACTTTATTGAGCAATAATTTTAACTAATTTTAAAAACTAGTACTACATGTGCAAATTTGTCAATTATAAAATGATTCTCTAGAATCTTTTTAATATTTAACGAATATAAAGAAGTAGGAATAAAGAATAAGAGAAAGAATAATTCTTTAAATACAAAAAGAAAAACAAGTATTTTCAGTATATGAACATTTCGATTTTTATACGGCATTTAATTTTTTGATAGTATATTTATTCTGTTAAATGAAGAAGTGAGGAACAAAATCAGAACTTGCTATGCAGCAAATCTTCTTATCCAAGCCTAATATGAGTCAGTCCTTAAAATAAATTAATAAATGTATCTAATAATGATTAAAGTCATGTGTTCTTTATTTACTTATTTTTTTTTAAATCTTTACTTCAAGCAAAAATATACAGCACCAAAGAGATGATTTATAAAGTAAGACTATAAAAATATTAGTTGTATTTTAGTTCGTAGAATAAAATGTATAGAAAGTTTCTTACAAATTTAAACTTTATTTTGTTTAAATTTTTTCCTTAAGATCAAAAATTTTCAAACCCGCTCTAGTATGAAATCCTGGTTACGTCACAGCAAAATAAATTAATAATAATAATAAACAAATTAATAATAATAATAAACAAATTAGTAACAATAATAAATAAATTATTAATAAATAAATTAATTATAAAATCCTTAAAAAATTATTTTTACTCATTTAAATCGAACGTAATTTAATCTTTTCTCACGTTTTTTAATTAAAGTTTACGTAACTTTGAAGTTTTAATTTTTTCTAAGCGTACTTCTTTATTTTAACACTTTTTACTCGTTGCTTTTCAAAATCTGTACTTTTTACTATTGCCTTAAGTACAAGTTAAGTAAATTGCCTTAAGTACAGTTACTTTTAATCGTTACTTTTTAGAAGTAACATCCCCATGCGTAGGAAATATGCGCAAAATTTTTTTGAAAGATTTTTTTAATCAAAACAACATGACCAATTTAAAAAACTATCAAATTTACTCTATAATCGATCCTAATATAAAAGAAATTATAGTTTGAACAGATTGGTTAGCACATGTTTAAAGGCACCCCACAGGACGTGAAACACCTTTGAACAAAGATTTCTTTATTTTTTAAAGTATCTAGAATTTCTCAAAAAAATTTCAGTTTCGAGTACATTAATTAAATGTATAAGCATTTTCAATGCACTCTTTTATTTACTCTAATAAATTTTATACAAAAAAAATAAGTATTTGTCATGAAGTTATTGAAATGTGCTGCTTCTTCCCTATTTAGACGTTATCGCTTTTATCATTTTACTAGGATCTTCTATGTATAGCACATTCAATTTTTTTGACGTCAATAAGCACAATACAACGAGAAAAAGTAAATAATTTCAATCTTATTTTATCCCTCCTTCCTCCTAAAAAATTGGGGGAAAGATACGATCTTAACCCGTTCATGATAGTGTAAGGTACACATTAGAAATATGGAACATATTAACGGATAACAAACATATTCGCAAAGATGTTGTTTATTTTGCGAAATTATAAAGGGAATTTTGAGTTGGGGTGTCAAAGACAAAAGAGAAGAACGAAAAAGTGTTAAAAAGAGAACTTAGATTCAAGGAAAATATTAGAAAATTTGAAAGGTCATTAATAATTTCTTAGGCTAAGTATTTTTTTCTACATGTCAAAATATATAGATCTACGTATCGAAAATAAAATGAATATTTTTTTGTTTTACAATAAAATTTCTTAGTTCACCAAAAAAAATTGAGAAAATCTTGCTTTAGAGATTTAATTTTTATCAAAGTCTGCCATTTTCTCTTGCCACCAAAGTTGCCGGTCTCGGGAGCTTAAGGGTATAAACTTCTAGAATTTAATGTATAAGTTATAAGTCGACCTGCGTCGTGATACATAGTTTCAGACACAAATAATAGAGAGCTAGAGTGTCTTAGATTGTAGATTCTTACTGCAGTAATATTATCGTAGTAATATTTTTGGGTTTTTTCGTTATATAAAGCGAATGAAAAATTTCAGAAAAAACTACTACGAATCCATTGTTCTGATATTTGAATTAGGAGTACCCTTCCCTTCTTAGATAAGTTCAGAGACTGAAATGATACAAAGAGAAAGTTTATTGCCTGAATACTGTCTCTCGGATACAACACATAAAATACTTAAAGTTCAAATGATTGTTTGGAGCTTTTTCTTTCAAATAATTAGGATTAGTATCTGTAATAGCATATTTTATAGCAATCACACATTTTTGCTTAAAAGATACATTCAAACTTAAGGACAGGATACACTTCTCAAAAATTCAGAAACTGTAACATTATATTGCCACCTTTGTTCGGCTACCATGAGTTATTAAGTATATAAAAATGTGAGTCTCTCCAAAAATTGAAATTCAGATCGCTTATTTTGAATTTTGTATATTATTTTGTATTAAAACAACTAAAAAACTATTTCCTTACGAGTAAAATTTTAGAAACAATTTTACAAGTCTTTTCAAACATATGTATTCATAAATGAAATATATTTATTTATTATTCTCAGCTAAATGAAGCATGCATACCGTAGGTAAGCAGGAATAGACATCAGCAGAAAACAGTAAAAATTTTGAAATAGCAGACTTACCTTTTTCTTCTAAGAACGGAGAATATGATCGTTGCTGCCATGAATCTTTTGGCGATTTTTCTTGACTAAAAGAGCCAGGAACTATTGATGATTTAAGTTTTTGTGTTGAATTTGGAATTTGAGAATCTCTATAGCCTGTATTTCTGTTGGAAATTCCTGCTTGAGCATAATTGTACAATCCTCTTTGCAAATAATCCGATAGTTCAAAGCTATTACAGAGACCACGAGAAGATATACAAAGTCCTGGAGGTAGAACCATAGTATTTGTTGGTATCCATGGGCTCTTACAGCCACTTAAGTGGACTGAGGAATCAGATTTTTGGGAGGTGTTCTCGCTTTTCGTTAAAATAGAATCTACTAAGAAGGACTTAGACATGATTGGGACATAGAAGAAATGAGGAGAAGTAAATTGTCCTCAACTACAACTGATATTTAATTATTTTACACTTATTAATTTACTTTACACATCAGTATATTATGATTAATGATTTTATATGAAAATATATTTGGGTAACATAAGTTTTTAAGAAAATGCCAATGGTTTATGAAATGGTGTCTTTAACTAGGAGAATTTAAAAAAGAATAAAGTCACGAGTGTAGATAAATCGTGAGAGATTTTATTGAATAAAGATGGGAAAATGTATTAAAAGTCTCTACCACAGGAAGTATTTCGCACTGAAATGGGGGCTGTGCAATTTGTTTGTGAAAAAATAAGGGGTCGAGCAACGAATGATTGAAAAGGAGAGGCGGGTCTTTTTTGGATAGGCGGCACCCCGGGTCCGATCTGCACCCTTTGAGAGAACGCGAGCAAATTGCAAACCTATAAAAGCCTTCAACAAAGAATTACATATTATTTAAAGCGCACGAAACACTTCTCTGTGCCTTACTGTCAAAATATTTTAATTGCGAATTTTCAAAACTCTTTTAAGAAATTAAATCGTTTGCAATGATTTATAAAAAATAAAAAAAATCGTTTACAATGATTTATAGAAAATAGTTTACAATGATTTATAGAAAAAATTAATTCTATTTGTCCATTCTAATGAAAAATTTAAGTAGTTTAAAAAAACATTAATATAAGAGAGAACCCCTCAATTTTTTGACGGAGAAAGAAAGTACTTAAAACCAGTAGTGTGAGAAGTGTTTAAATTCATTGCCTTCTACTGTACAAGTACTAATGCTGTACTAGTATTATGTATGCAGTGACTTTGATGATAATAATTTAAATTAAAGAATAAGTATTTTTTTTTATACTGTTGAGAGTTTACATCTGTTATTAAAAAAAATCGTACATTAGTGAGCGTGGTTTCTTTTTATGATAGATATTTTTAAATTTTATCATCGACAACAGTTGATAAAAAAAAAATTTATTTACAATTCTGACATTAGTTTCTAGTAATGTTAAGAAGATTTTCAACTTCTTTAAGTACTTATTAATTAATTTCTTCGCAAACAGTAAATACTTTAATGAACACTATTCCAAGAATATTTTTCTTTCTTAGAGTCTAACATAATTTTAGATTTAATAGCCTTATTTTAGATTTAATTTTAGCATTATTTTAGATTTAGATAAAATAACCTTTCAGCATTTTTCAGTTCAAGTTTTTCTAACAAAATAAAAGTTTTCAGGCAAGATTTATTTTGATAATTTTCTAGTAAATTTTGCGACATTGAACATTAATGTACTGAATATTATTAAAAAATTTCTACATGAGCATTAATGGGCTCATCTCTGTTTGTATTTCTTTCAGTCACAAAAATGAACTATCTTGATTCCTGAATTTAAATTTTCTCTCATTTATTTGGCATTAGTATTCAAATTTCTTCCCCTAAACATTATATTTGCATATAACTTATATACGGTATTCAACAGAGCTATATAACTACTTTGAACAACAGAAAGAAGCGTGGAAAAAATATTTCCTTAGTACCACAAGGAATGGCCGAACTCTAGTATCATAGATCAGATAGCAAACAAAAGTTTTTGATGTCACAGAAAAAATTAAAAACCTAAAATGGCAAAGGGCAGGTCAAACATTCTGAACTAGTACCCTCTTGACATCAAACGACCCAGAAGACGATCACGAAAAAAATGGCCTGATAAAATGAGAAAGCTACTGTGTTAATTGAAAAAAAAGTGCTGTAAATCGAATTTTTGGAAAAATTTGGAGATCTTCATCCAGCTGTAACTTGATAATGGTTGAAGGTGTTGCTGATTCACAATTAAGAGATCAGGGAAAGAAGAATAATGTAATACTTGAAAAGTCGTATTTAACAACATGTACTAGTGTGAATTTGATAGTTAAAAAAAAGTTATGTAGATACGGAGAAAAAAAAAATCTGACTAAATTACCATACTTGTATGGTAAAGACATTTCTGGTTTAAAAAGAAAAAAAACTAACATTTTATTAATTAAACTGAAAGTTACAGTATTTTAACCATTCATTTAGCATTTTTTTCCCGTCAGTTATGGTAACTGAAAAGTAATTTTTGTAAATTTAATAGATGGTTTTTAAGCTTTGTTATAAAGTATGACGATAAAATTACCAAAATTTTCTTCAGAACTATCATTCCTTGGACCATTTGTTTAGGATTTGTGACATTTTGATGATACATTTTACCAAATAGAATAGTAATTGACCTTATAACCTGTTTACATTTCTATGGTTTGTTTAAAATGGAGTTTTATTTAGGTGATTTAAAACAATCTTACATGATTGGAGCCTCAGTTGCACAGGAGTATTGTCCTTCTACCTAACGCTCTGAAGCATAGGGGTAGCGGGTTCAAAATCTTTGAGTTGTTTTTCTCGTTTTTGTGCGTCCTGTTCTTCAATTTTGTATTAAGCAAACAAAGCAACATAAGTTGTTATTGTTGTAGTTCATTTACGTCGCACTAGAGCTGCACAATGGGCTATTGGCGACGGTCTGGGAAGCATCCCTGAGGATGATCCGAAGACATGCCATCACAATTTTGATCCTCTGCAGAGGCGATGTCACCCCAGCTTCGGTGACCCGACGACCTGCACGCAAAGTCGAGCTTTTTACGGTAGAACAGTATAACGAGAACCAATACCGCACACTCTCGGTCCCTACGCAGACTAATCCAAGTGGCCACCCACCCGCAAACTGACCGCTGCCAGTGATGCTTGCTTTCGGTGATCTGCTGGGAACCGTGTCTTAACAATCAGTAAACTGCTGGACATATTCTACTGGAAACCGTGTCTTTTCGATCAGTCCACTGCGGGACACAGTTTAATAAAAAATATACATGTTTAAAGCTATTTACTATAGAAAATAGGTAAGCTCGTCGGATGTCCTCCACTTTTGCTGACCTGAAGTAATTTTTTCAGGTTATCTTCAAATTTCACTGCATTGAAAAGTAAATATTTTTTCTGTTTGAAATTGAACTAAAATAAAATTATTGATATTATTTAATCTATCCCATGAAAAATGCTTTTTTTTTATCCTGTTTTTCAATAATTACTGATTTATCTTAGGAAATAAAGGATTATCATCATTTCTTGAAATAAGTAAAATGTTTGGTCATTTATTTTTATTTTATTTTCTGATAAGCTTGTGTTCTTTCTTTTTCGTTAACTATTATAACGCAAGCAGAAACTCTTTCAACTACAGCTTAATTGGTATCATATCAATTGTTTGAAGAAAAACATTCAATTCTGGTTGCATAATTATTTGCCAATTTCTGATTAGTGCTTACATCATTCCATAATTACTAATTATTTCGCTATACTGTTTACATAATTATTCCACTTCTTTTACAAATGTTCAAATCATTTTGTTTTTCCTTCAATAAAAAAATAAAATTTTTTTGAGAAGGGTAGAAAAATTATGTTTAAAACTTGGCTAATTTTTCTATTTTGTTTTTATTATGCCTATATCTTTAAAAACATACAATAAATAAAAATGAGTAATTAATGAAAAATAAATATTTTTTTTAAATTTCATTTTCCTAATTTAACTTTATTTAACGTTTTTTTATTTATTACAATTAATCACATTCTGATCTTTATAGTTAGTATTTATTACGTATTTCTGGATATTCAAAAGTGTCTCAACTTTTTTGTCCAAAGGTGTCCTATTACATGCATTTCTCCATCAATATTAAGTCTATCATATATTATCGTTCATGTGTCCTTTTTTACATTTTAAGTTATTTGATTGAAATAAAAACTTCTCGTAAAAACTGAAAATAACGAAATTAAAAATATTTAAAATATGAAGAGCAATGAGCGAATCTGGTATTATGTACCGATGTTCATGGTGCACTCTAAGAAATTTTTGTTGAACTCGGATAGTTGGCCGTTTGTTTATATGGCCAGCTCCACTCTTTAATCCCTTGAGGACCATCATCACATATATGTGATCACATGATTCTTCCTTCACAGCCCACGATACCATTTATGAAACGAAACTTAATTACTTTAGTGGCACAATATTACACAGATGTAATCTTAATGCGATATTCTCGTATTACATATCGTATTAGTACGTATATGAACTCGAAGTTTGTGGTTTTGGTGGAATTGAAAATATTTAAAATGTGTGTAGCAATGAGCAAATATGATATCATGTCCGTGTGTTCATGATACACTCTAAGAAATTTCTGTTAGGTGATTAGTTTACTTGGCCAACTACGTTCTTTAACCCCATCAGGACCATCATCATATATATGGATTACACTGACGTGACCTCCATGTTCCCATAACAAATCAATACCTCTGAGAGTACTAGATTGGAGATCGATCGTTCTCTGATTCAGGTGAAAATTGCGATCTCTGGAAGAATGAATGGATGTATAAATGGGTCCGCCCTATAAACGGATGTGACGTATGGGTGTGGCACTTGACCATAGATGGCGCCACTGGAAAAACAAGAACAATCGCACCCCCTCTGCCTAAAACAGGCATACGTCAACAACAACAACGGACGTGATTTCAATGGGGATTCGTATTACATCTCATATTAGTAAATATACGTACTCTTTATTGCGTATGAAATCGGAGTACGAGTGTCTGGGGAAGTGCTTCCTTATCCATCTGCTGATCCTGAAGGGTTAATAAAAAGAGACCAGTACCCGTAAGTGTCACGAACTTCAGAAAAATTACTAGAGTTGACTGTTGATTTATCAACAGCTTCCGTCTTTGAGAAGAAAAAGTAGTGTTTGTAGTTAGAATGAACTTCAGCAAAATTAGTTGAGATCTCAATCTATCTAACTTAACTAGATAACAATAGTTATCTCAATTCGATTAGGGGGGGTGTTCACACCCTTTTCCATGTTGGTTACAAAATCAGGCTACGGACACCAACATCTGAATTTTGATTCCAGCCAACCCCAAAGAGCGTCTCTGTAACACTCCATCTACATTATTGACCACGAATAACGAAAACTCATCACTCACACTCTTCGACAAATGGTAGCACTATGTTACTTCCCCTTGCTTTACTGTTTTCATCTCCATTCAACAAGCAAATCACCTAAATATCAAGTAAAAAAAAGTCCCGAACTGATGCTAAATTTTCCGAGTATATGTTAACTTATGGGCAGTGGCCATGCATTTTACGAGATGAAATTTACGTGCAGCCCTATATATTTGATGGTAATTAAAGGTTTATGGACATAAATTTAATTTTAAGGTCAGTAAGTGGAACACTTTTAGCCGGTCGCTGGCCGTAATCTTGTGGTAAAATCTTGGAACGCTGGAAATT